CTTATTCTCTTGTAATCCCTTTCTCCCCAATCTCTCCACTCTGCAAGGAGGGAAAAAATGAAAAAAAAAAAACAGGTCAGGCATAGGACAATGCATATTGACTGTAATGGTGATCACATGACTGAGGGACACTGTGAAGGTCGTAAATGTGCACCTTTGTTGCGAAGTTATTTTTTCATCACCCTCACAACTTTGAATGGTCAGTCAGCAAGCGAGGTCTACCTGTATATAAATTGTTGAGTTTCAGCAGAAATGTAAACAGTGTTGCTAACTTCTGTTTCGAAACTTAAACTGACTGCAGTTTGTACATTGCTGTAAAAGTGTGACATACTGGTTTATATACATGATTTTTCATATTTTGCTTACTTTTAAAGTTTCAGATTCTCTCCCTCGAACAGCAGAGTTATTTTGCCAATTAGGTAACCACAGACAGTGAATTTCTGGGTTACAGGATACAAGTTTCAAATATTAGTTCCCCTACTTCATCTCATGCTAGTAAAAATGTGAGCCAAACTGTATACTAGATTGCAAGTTCATTGCTGGATAGCAGAACTCTTCAATAACATGGGTTTTTTAATGTGCCATTCAGACAAATGTGTTTCTTGTACTAGACTTGCAAATCAATTGATCTTCTTGTTTTTAGATTAGGATACTAGTTCTAAATGCTGCAATCTTTCATTCAGCTACAGGGGAAATAGCAATCCTATAATTACTGAATTAACTTGGTGAGAGAGTAGACTGAAATGGAAAAAGTATGAAGTTTCCTAATAGGTTTTGATAAAATCTGAGAATGAAACTGCAATCATTATTATTAAATTGGTAATCTGTATTTTCTTTCTAATTCAACAGGCCTTATCTGGTCAAGGTATTCTCTAGTAATTATTCCTAAAAACTGGGGTTTGTTTACTGTTAATTTCTTCGTTGGCTGCGCTGGTGGCTCTCAGCTGTACCGCATATGGAGGTAGGTGATTAGGAAGAATTTTTGCCAATGCTATTGTTGAATTCTGAGAGTTGTAGTTCCAACACATTTGAAAATAGGGAAGGCTGTATTAAAGGATCAGAAAAGAAAAAAATGGGAATCCCCCGACCAATTTTTCTCATGTTCGTATCTAGCCCTACTCCCAACTATTATTATGGGGAGTGGGGGTTAGTCAGTGAACTGTGTAAAAAGTAATTCCTGTTTTTTTAAAAAACAAAAAACTGTGCAGCAAGGGACACAAGCATTAGAAACCTTACTAGTTTACCTCTGATTGTGCAGTCTTCTGGTCTACTTAGTTCAGCTCATCTGTTCTGTTCCCTACGGTGGCAGCTGTATCTACAGGATAGGATTAGTTGGTTCCTTAGCAGGCCAGTCTTTGAAAGCCTGCTATAACAGTCTTTATTTAATAGAAGCAAGTTTTCTTAGGCTGCCAGTAGATAATGTATCAGTTATCTAAATTTATTCAAACCCATTGTTTCCCTTGCATAATACAAATTGATGACTTGGTAGTGGCTATTTTAATCCTCTTCACCTTGAATATTGCCTATCTTAAACACAGAAGTCCTTGGGAAAATGCTGATCTGGTTCTTCTCCCAATCACTCTCTTGTAAATGCAATCTGTACAGGATGTGTTACTCATATTCTGTTTAGTAACATAGTACTATCAGAGCAGGTGGCAACAGCTAGACAATTTTGACAGATCTTGAAAAAGCTAAATAGGATTGGACCTTTTTTGTATTTGGATAAGTGACCACCAGGAGATCGCAGGGCTATAGACTAGATTGGGATGTCGAAAAAACATCTCAGTAGAATGCAGTGGAAAACCAATTATTTTGAGACGTAATCTTGCTAAAAACACTACATTGTAATAAAACAGTTTCTACTTTGCCTAAATACGTTGGTGTTTGAAGATACGTATGAATTATTATTTATATCAAGCTTAAGTGATGTAAATAATTTCAGGTTGTCCAGTTGGTGTTTTCGAATTACTATAATATGGAGCTGAACTTTCCTAACAAGACATGCTACTAAAAAGAACCACGTATATGCATAAATGAAACACACCAATTATTTTGATTTAAAATAGGTCCTACCAGATCTGAACTGCAAAAATTCATACACTTACAAGATGCCAGCAAAGATACAAAAGATTTCCTGCCATCTAGTGGTGGTCCAGATTTTTGCAGTTCAGATCTGGTAACCCTCTTTAAACAGAATGTATAATTAAATCTGTCTCTTGAATTAAATTACAAATCAATGCAGTTTAGCTATAGTGTTTACTATATATCATCCATGTTTTTAAAGGACAGGAAAAATAATATAGCAAATAAAGATCTAATTTCTAATATAATATAACTTTTTTTTTCTTCTCCAAAATATGTTGGCAATAGTAAATAATTTGTATTCTCTTTTTCTGACAGGTATAACCAACAGTTAAAAGCCAAGGAACTAGAGAAGCAGCAGTAGAAATTCGAGTTCATTTCTTCAAATCTCAGTGTAAACTACTTCCTAAGGGACCTAGTATTAATCCTGTTCAGTTGTCCAGTGTGAATTTTTACTAAAAGTAGTAGAGCATGTTTTTCTATAAAGTTAGAAAGCAGCCTCTTTACATTTAAATAAACACTTTAATTAGCTCCAAGTCTCTTCTTAAAGCCAAACATAACCAGTGCAAGTATTTTTAAGGACTGAAGCAAGATGACTTTTCGAGATGTGCAGAATGTGAAGGGGAAAAGGTGATTCAGGGTACTCAGAGGCTCTCATACCATACCTTTCAGCAGCAACTTAAATATATGTCTTTTCCAGGCTCATGTGGCTGCCACTTTACAATCAGAATAAGACCTATTTGGTTTCAGGAGGTGCTGACTTATGCATAGATGCCAAATAATATTTTCTCCTCCAGTGGCCCAAACAGCACAAACTACTGTAAATCTGTTTCACTGTGGATTATACTGGGGGGAGGGCAGGGCAGAATCCATATATTTTGCTATATTTTAGGAATACTCACTTTTTCAAAATACAGGAATTTGTTGGAGATAGAGGATCATCATTTTTTTAAAAAAAACAACTGTTAGATACATCTGCAAGTGCCCTGCTGAAACCTGTGGTTTATATTATAATTTGTTTTTACATGGCCAGAGAAATTCCACTTTTCCAGGATGCTCCTGGGACTATTATGGGCCCAGAGACAGACACAGGAAATAATATCGATAGGCATTTGGAATTTAAAATAACTATAAGTGGATACATACACAGAAAATGATGAAAGAAGCATTTCATAGTGAGTTATTTTCAAGTGGGTTGCTTTTAAATCTGCACACAAGGTATATTGGTGACACGTGCAGTTCTGGGTGTCCCACAGTTGTGCCTGCGTTATACCACTGTTGAATGAGCTGCGTTGGCTTCCAGTTGCTTTCTGAGTGCAATTCAAGGTGCTGGTTATCACCTTTAAAGCCCTATATGGCACAGGGCCAGGTTATTTGTAGGATTGCCACTCCCTGAGGATATCTGCCCATCCCACTAGGTTAGATAGGGTGGGGGCACTCCAGGTCTTTTCCCTCAAACTTTGCCACCTAGTGGGATCTTGGAGGCATGCTTTCTAAGTAGCTGCCCCAGCCCTTTGGAACAGCCTCCCACCTGAGATCTGGGGGGGGGGCTACTCTTTCAGTCTTTCTTGAGGCTGTGAAGACCTGGCTTTTTCCTTAAGCATTAGGCTAGGATAGGATTGAGCTGGGGGCTAGTAGTATGGGTTACTATAGTGCCTTGGTGGGAAGGGTGAGAAGGGTATAAAGTTTTATATTTTTATTGGTTTTGCTATGAGCTGCCTAGGACTACTATGTGAGATAGTCAGCCATTAAGTTCTTTAAATAAGAGAGATCTGAGCTCCCAAAGTTCTCCCTCACTCCACATCTTTAGCCCATATTCCTCTCTCAAGACCCTCCATCTTCACTTACATTTCCCTTTGTTGCTTTCTTGACCCATAACTCCCTGATACTTTTGCTTACTCTAGACATGTACTATCCCTTCCTGTGTATTAAGTTGCATATTCTTTACTCCAATCTCCTTGCTGCTGCTTCTCACCATGGTAAGGCATACTCATTTATTTCTGGGCTTCTTTTCCCTTCTCTCCCCCTTCCTCAGATAGACAGCAGCACTTCAGAATAAAGCAATAATCTATAAGCAACATTTTAAACTGCTCTTGCCTGCTTGTGTGTATGTGTATTTAATGCTCTAAGGGACCTCATGGATACAAGGGAGGTTGCTATAGATAGGTTCTTGCTTACCCATATTTTAAGATTAGTATCCCTGTTCCCTTTTTCAGTGGTGTGAATAAAACTAGTGCCATTTAGAGCTCAGAAGTACAAGTTCAGTGGTGTAAAGATAGGAACTGTGCACCTTTAGACGTTGTAGATCTGTAATTCCCAGCACCCTCCACTATTAAGGGTATTTGTTAGCCACCCAGAAGGGCGGCTATATAAATTGAATCAATGAATGAATGAATGTACATACACACATGCATGCATGCATGCTGGCTGGGGTTACTGTTGCAAAATTTGGAGTGCCATAAGCTACAAGCAAGCAGCATCTATACTTTTCAAATTGCCTTAGCAACTTATGCAACCTGAGCAATACCTCTCTTTAAAACTGAAGAACTATCCCTAAAGACTAGATAAAACAGCTGCTTTTTTCTTGTGTCAGCACAGGGAAGGTATGCTGTGACAATCTATATGACATGCTTTTCTGGGAAAACATGAAAATAGTTGGAGGATATCCCCTTCATTTCTACCTCCCAACTCCACATTTAGCCTTTACTGAGTGGGCACACAAACTGTGTTGTTCCAGAGTTTGCTCAGTGCTGTATGTCATTACACTGAGTTAACCCAAAACAAAGAAAGCCTAGTCTGGCTTAGTACGATATGAATCCAGCCGCTTTGAATTCTGCCTATCCACTGGAAGTGAATAAAGTGCAAATTATTTCATTGTCTACCATAGTAGATTGACAAACTGAGACACACAACAGACCACTAATGGAAAAAGTGTATTAAAATATTCACAATAGTACAATATAAAGCTGCTTATGAGAATATGGAGAAGGAAAGAAGACTTGTACAATAAAAAATTATTCCAGTTTTTTAAAAGTGCAGAAACAAGGTAAAAAAAGGGCTCAGTGCTGCATGGCATGGATTTACATAGTGAAATCTTAAAAAGTCTAAGGTTTGGGAAGTTAACTTTAACAACTGGAAACCATCTGTCTTATAGAAATATACAGCACCATAGGAAAGGGCATTTGTCTTTTACTGTATAGAAAAGTACACCACCACAGAAAAACTGCTCATACATGAGTTGAGAGATTTCTATATTTCAGTTTGGAATCAAAATTTAGTAAGAGAAAGTGCAACTCCCAGTTATCATAAATAGAAACATAATTTTAAAGTATTTCAGACAGATACATAACTATGTAATCTATTAACAAGACTTGGGCTTCAGGCTCATTATTTTGACGACTGAATAGTTCTGCTTCTACCAGAACATACTATGTAGAGAAAGGAAAGACTTTGTTGTATATGCAGAACTAGTTACAAGACACATGGTAACTATTTCAAAAAATAATGCACTGGGGAACTTCAAGGACAAGTCTAGTTATTTATAAAACTAATAAAGGCAGGATAAAAAAAATTTTTTAAAAACCCATGATGATGAGGTTGAGAAAGAGCCATGCCAAGAGAAGCTCAACTTGGAAAACCTGGCACAATGACTGATGCCAAATGCCTTGTGGACTTCTATGAATATGATGACAACATGGTTTGTGCAATGAAGTTCAAGGAATATTTTAACACCATACACAGCCATGTTCAATGAGTTTAAGCAAAAGAAGCAAAGCTTCCCATCACAATGTTCTGAAAAGACAACTTCTACATTAACACCTAAAATTCCTCATCCCCCTGAATCAGAAATCTCAACATCAGCCTACCCTGCCTCTTCTCCCTTCTCTGAGACCCCTACTACTGAGGGGTACTGAATTCTGCGGTGAGTATGCTGGTGAATGCCTTGTTCTTAAGTACAGTACAGTATGTAATATAATTTTGATACAGTATTTCCAGAAGCATGGTTCTAAAATGTTACTCATTGTAAAGCACAATTCAAACATTTAAAACACATTTAAATGTACTTGGGTTAATTGTAAATGGTTGTGTAAGTGTTTTGGGGCTATTGGGCAAGAGTACAAACTTTCAGAGAATTTCATGTTTTGCAGGAAGTGTTCACACATAACCTCCCCAAATATGGAGACCCAACTGCACTGCACAGAAAACACTCCTTGTGTGCTGCACAGAGTATCAATTTAGCATTTGCCAGCCCTTGTATCAATGAAAAAGCCACTCCATTTTTTTAGAAACCTTAAACATATTTTAGATGTAGAAAGCTCTGAGCAAACATATGAGCAGATACTGTAGACATGTAAGGTACTTCAGAAAAAAAGCAATAATAGCACCAGTCTATCTGAAACACTGAGGTAGAGGGAGGGGGAGAGGGAGAAAAAGCAGATTCAGAGTTGCTATGGATGACATCATAAAGATGAAAGGCAATGGTATAGAGTTCTTTCCACAGTAAAGAAGCATACAGCCATTTCAATTTCAAAGTAAACCTGTATGAGATTTAAGAACTAGTGGCAGTAAAACTGTCCTATCATATTTTATGCCTTCCATGAAATGCCATCTAACTAAGATTATTTTAAGTTGTAGCCATTTCTTTTTGCAACTGCAACATCAACAGCCTCTCGTAACTCTTAGAAGCAGACCACGGTGAAGAAATTTATAGAAAGGCACATCAAGATCAGCACCCTATTTTGCTCAGAGGTAACCAAGTTTCATCTTTGTTGCTGAAACAAAAAAAGAGCCATAAAAACATATCAAGATTTTTGTTAATGCTGCCCTATTACAAATTACTCTATTAAAACTTTTGTATGTCTAAAAGTTCGTTTGTGGGAGACTGCCTGTAAATTCCTTGAAGATAGAACTTTGGTTTCCAGTAGGTTGGAAACTAAAGCAGGTGAAGATTACTAATGGAAAAGGAGGACACCAGAGTGAAAGAAGATAAGAGAAGTTGTATGAAAAATTAGATCTGGTAAAAAGATGCAAAAACATCAATTAAGGAAAAGGAATCATGCAGAAACAGTTCTCATGTCCATTTCAAAAGTAACAGAGGCTATTAAAAAAGTACCAATTCCATTAGAATATCCAAGAATTTCCAGTTTTTTTTCATATAACAATTAAGACAAATTACCTAAAGATGTAACATGAATGTTTGCTTTTCCCCCTTATCCTAAATATATAATGAACTATTGACCATTTATAAGCAGAATTATTATCACATTTTAACATGCAACATTGCTCTCATTTCTGTATGATTAAATAGACTATTTACACACAGTACATATATAATCTCTTTCTCTCTGTATGCACATGCATTGGTCTTAGTCTAGGCATCAAAGGCCACATGTGAGTTCTCTGGGTCAATTTCCTTCAAGCGATTCCAGTTTGAATTTTTGTTAAGCTTTGGATAGGCTGAAATCTCCTCAGTTCTTCCGAATATCAGCATAGACCACAGACTCTGATTTGTTGATTTTGTCACTGTAATGCCCTCCAGAGTGATCTAACTGTGCATAAATTACTGGTCCCTAAAACAGAAAAAATAAACATGGCATAAACATTTAATTAATCTATCAGCAGCTAAAGAAAACTCAGAAAGTATTACATGCAAACTTAACATTTAGAAGAAATCAAGGGATTATGATTTATTTCCTTTTTTAAAACCCGTTCTACTTAGAAATCATACCAATTAGGTGGGTTGTTCCTGTAGCCATCGATCTGTTGAAATAAACTAATATAAAATTCACAGCAAATATTGTTTCATGCTTCAGGGAGATGAGATCACCTGTAGTTTGCATGGTAACACAGTAAAGCACAGTGCAGAGAATGAACTTTACTTCAAATGTACATCAAGCATTCACAGCCCTGCTAAGTCAGCTCATTCACAAGATTCCATTTTTCCACACACTTATATCATCACAGAATACCTGCCAAGCAACATTTATTCCTGTAGATAGCAATAACTCGAGAAAAGGAAGTATATGGAATACCAATAAGAAAGCAGCAAGGAGCTGAAGAATAATCTCTAAGCGTTTACATTTAATAGCACTATGCATCTTTCTTGGCAATATTCAGAGCACAAAATTATATTCATTAACTCTTTCCCATATCTTCCAGAACAAGTGTCCTCAAACCTTTAAGTGATAATATAGAGCTTCATCCCAAGTATTAGAGTTTCTGAGTAATCCTTATATCAGAAAAAAACAGAAGACCTAACATTCCAAGTCAAAGAGTTTTGCCTAGTGGATTGACAGTGCAGATAAGGAAGCATTTTACAAAGAAAAAAATAACTGGGAAGAATTAAGATATTTCTCAACTGCAAACAAACAGGAAGAATGAGGAAAGTTTTATTTTACAGATGGAAATGTTATGTACTATAGATATATTTCAGTAGCTGCTCAATTAAATAGTGGTTTTCAATACCATCAGAAGAACTTTCTGCAGGACACATCTGAATGAGTCATGACTTTTTCTCTTTAATGTCAGATTACATATTTCTCACACCAGCAGATTCGATTCTACAGATATGTGTTACTGATTTCAGACTCAATTATGATAAAGGAAAACAGTCATATTTTTCCCTAACAAGTAACTGCCATCTTTTAAAAAAAAAAGTTGTTTCCTTTATGTGCAAGTCTTCTTACTGAGCATGCTTTTCTAACTTCTATAAATACTGTAGGGGATTCATATACTGTATTTTTCCGACTATAAGACGATACTTTTTTCTAAAATCCTTACGCTAAAAATTGAAGGGCGTCTTATTCAAGGAAGTCAGCCGAGGAGGGAACCGCGCAGTTGCAAAGCTGCCCATACTTTGCCTCTGCAAACAGGTTTCCTCCAATCACGAGCCTCCAATCACGAGTGAAACTGCCCATAACTTGTCTCTGCAAACAGACTTCCTCTAATTTGTTTTTTCAGCATCAGCTGGAGTCAGTTACATAAGGCTCATGATTGGAGGAAGTCTGTTTGGGAACTATTTCACTCGTGATTGAAGGCTAGCAATAGGAGGAAGCCTCTTTGCAGAGACAAAGTATGGGCAGTTTTGCAACTGCGCGGTTCTCTCCTCGGCTGACTTCCTTGAATAAGACGCCCTTCAATTTTTAGCGTAAGGATTTTAGAAAAAAGTATCGTCTTATAGTCGGAAAAATACAGTAACTATTTTCTAACAAGAGGAGGTGATTGAAGGCTAGCAATAGGAGGAAGCCTCTTTGCAGAGACAAAGTATGGGCAGTTTTGCAACTGCGCGGTTCTCTCCTCGGCTGACTTCCTTGAATAAGACGCCCTTCAATTTTTAGCGTAAGGATTTTAGAAAAAAGTATCGTCTTATAGTCGGAAAAATACAGTAACTATTTTCTAACAAGAGGAGTTGATCAGAGGAACATCATGGTCTCTTGCAGGAATTTCCAGCTGTAATCACAGTTAGCATAAGTAGTAATTAATTTGCTGCAAAAGTAGTAATCTGGAAGAGTTCTTCATTGGAAAGGGCAGTGTCAATCATTTTAAAATACTCTTTATATCTCAGTTTAGGCAATTAGTAAATGTGGCCAGATATATGTATCTCAGAGAACAGTGTAAGCATGGCACAGTATGCAAAGGATAACTGTGTTTTAGGAAAAAAGGAAGCATATATGCATTGCCTGAAAAGTTTCAAGTAGAAAGTTATATTGCTGACATAGTATTTTATTTGCTTCTCAGAAAAAATCAGAGTTCAGCATTCAGAACCACTGACTGGAATAGTACATAACTGGGATATAGTTAGAAGACTATATCCCAGTTTTTATCCATTATGCATATAGGAATCCAGATAACCAATCAGGTCACTATTAGACCTAGAAATCAGAGAACATGGATAATTATCACATTCGAAATGATCAAGCATTCTATAGCCAGATAAAGGAAAAGGAGAATGAATACTGTGTACCAGTCAAACATGCATAATTGTGAGAAATTATGATTCAGATGAATTTATTGATAAGGACAAGAGTGAAAGCAAACCTGATGAGCCAAGCTAAAGATGGAATGAACCTATCAAGGCTGTTTCCACACATGCCATATGAAATCCAACCCCTGGCAACAAGCTTCTGCTTTCAGAACAGGCAATGTCAATCAACATTAGGAGTAAATATTTAGGAAGATAGTAGGATCCCATCAAACTGTGGGTAGGTAATGCACAAGCTGTTACTTTAAAAGTAAAGCATTAAGCTGTGAAATTTTTAATTCCCCCTGCCTTGTTCAATATCTTTTTCTATTTAACCCCCCTCATTATTCTAACAACAGCAATACACATACCTACAAAAAGTTATATTCTGCTGCCCATGAAGATGATTGCCTGAAAACAAAGTTATTATATAACAGCAGTGTCCCAATTCTAAATATGATGTGTTTTAAAACATTGTCAGAATATCTAGTAGCATTTTCAGTATAGGAAAAAAGGTAGAAGCCAAGGGATAAAAGCTACACATTCTAATATACTTTTAAAGGCCCCACAAGAAAGTACTTGATTCCAAATTTCCCAAATAAGTCAACAGTAACCTGACACACTAATTAGGCACTAGAGTCTTTGCTGACATTAGGAAAAAAATTATTTCTACTTCTTTTGATTATTACAGCTTCTTCTTTATCTCTGTTAAAGTAACATAAAAATAGTCTGTAAGATTGGGCTACCATATAGGCTACAAAAATCCAGAGAACCTCAAGTTGGCAGCAGTTAAATAAATCATTAACTGTAGGTTGCCATGTAGTACTTGTCTACATTTTTGCAGCCTAGTTATGACAGCCCTACTGTAACATGCCTGGCTGAATGCACTGTTGTATTCATACAATGTTCTCAGAAGGTGTTCAAATGCAAGCCGTCACTGGGAAATAAGACACAGAGCAACACACACAGTTTTTAAATTGTGTTGGAAACAATCTCTAAAAAAGTTCAAACCTCTGTATCTTTTTCACTGAATTCCGTAATACACATGTAGTCACTTTATCATAAGCTTTCTCTAAATCAACAAATGCACAATAAAGTTCCTTCTTCACAGTCTGCACTTCTCACATAGCATGTTATAGTACTGCAACTGTTTTTATTCTACATTTATATTGTACTTAGTTACTACTCAGTACAAAAATGTACTTTTACTACCACTAATTCACTACTATTACAACTACATTGTAAAATACAAAGAATAGTCTCCAGACCTAAGTCAACTTCATGCAACAGTTAATACCTGTTTGTCAGGCAGCAAAGCAAATCAACACTTTCATCAATAACATTATTCCTTTTAAGGAGTTCATAATCCAGGTCTATATTTAGGTACTTAGTCATCTGGTAATCGTAACTGACAAGGAACTGCATGTAAGCAAATGACTGACAACATTCCTTCTGAACTCAGCATACAAATACTATCTTCTCTTCCCTCCCCCACTAAACTCTAGCAGTTAGTAAAAAAAAATTCTTGCCAATTAATTTCTGGACTTATTGTCAAGACTGTTAACAGTCAACTGCAACCACTGAAAATAACATGTGGAACTGTGTAAGTGAAATAGAACATATCTTAGCTAAGTTTACATTATAACATCAAGCTGTCACTAAGTAATCTACATGTACATTTACAATTCTCATTTTTTCAAAGGCAACTTCACAAATGTTTTGTGCTCTCTTTCATAAGATTTTATTCCTTGCTTAAGCATCTCAACCTCATCATAAAGTCTATGACTTTCTACTGAGATATGCAATTTTGAACAGATTTGAAAAACTCAAATCTTTTCAGATAAGTACAGTTTAGAGACTGATTTCTTTCTATTATTTTTTTCCATCCAACAAAAAATATTCACTCTGGAAAAAAAGAGAGACCTGTTATTTCCCCATGTCAAGTCAGCATACACTATCTCACTGCCACGTCTGATTCCAAAGCCTCTCGGACTGTTTCCATGTAACACTCCTAAGCAGTATTTAGCACTGGCCCAACACTGGTGGCAAAACAATGATGCCTAAGGAACTATATAAATATAAAACATTAAATACTCAATATTCCTAAAGGGATATAATTACGGTACAGCTGAAAGAAATCGAGAAGCTACTGTGTAAGAGCTACTTACTCAGTCCTCTAGATTTATACAAATCACATCTCTAAGACTAAAGACCTACATGAAGGTAGACTATCTTCGTGTAATAATTTATCTCACTATAGGAACCTGTCATTTATTAAGATTAATGGCTCTACCATAGTTTAACATTGCCAAAGACAGTAAGTATATCACAAAAATGATGGCCACAAGATAACTACATTCCCCACCATAGGCTTCATTAGAGCAGGACTTTTTTCTAGATATTTTTCTGTGTGTGTGTGTTTCAGGGATGAAGCTTCTCTTCTTCCCCTTAACACAGACACCACCTTTCCAGCCACTAGATAATCTCTGAGTCAGAGTATGATACCATTTACCTGATGCGATCGGATGGGCACGCTGTTTACCAAACCCTCTGTGTCGGAGGGGGACTTCCGTGGAGCCTGCTTAACTGGAGACACCAAGCTCTCAGAGGTACTGCAGCTGATGAGGTGGGAGAGCAGATTTTGCAGAACAATGTTCAAGAGGCAAACACAAGACAAAACAAAAACAAAGGCAAGTGATGGCAAGATGATGTGGCAACTTAGGCCAAAGAGTGACCCCAGTGAATGACAGACAACTCATACATCCTTGCTTTATACCTGTTCAGGTCAGTCATGCCTATACAGTGGTACCTCGGGATACGAACTTAATCCGTTCCGTGACTCTGGGCGTATCCCGAGTTGGTCGTAACCCGACGCAAATTTCCCCATAGGGTTCAATGTAAAAC